CCTGGACCACAAAACCAGTCATAAGGGTCAATTTTTTGAAATTGAGATTTATACATCAACTGAAAGCTGAATAAATAAGCTTTCCATTGATGTATGGTTTGTTAGAATTGGACAAGGATTATTATAGATATAGAATTGGACTATTTGGCCGAGATACAACTATTTGAAAATCTGGAATCTGAGGGTGCAAAAAAATCTAAATATTGAGAAAATCACCTTTAAAGTTGTCCAAATTAAGTTCTTAGCAATGCATATTACTAATCAAAAATTAAGTTTTGATATATTTACGGTAGGAAATTTACTAAATATCTTCATGGAACATGATCTTTACTTAAAATCCTAATGATTTTTGGCATAAAAGAAAAATCGATAATTTTGACCCATACAATATATTTTTGGCTATTGCTACAAATATAGTCAAGCGACTTAAGAATGGTTTTGTGCTCCAGGGTCACATATGGCCAGGTTTGTTTCATGTTGACCTTAATGTCACCTCCATTCCCTTTTATTTCTGGTTCCCTTTTTCATCCACACATTTATACTTCACATTTTGTGTTGTGTGTTTCAGGTCCAGCAGATTTGAATCTGATGTCCAAGTGCGCCCCCTGTCTGGCGACTCCCTGTCAGAACAACGGCACATGTGTGAGTGATGTCACGGGCTCCTACCACTGCACCTGCCCTTTTGGCTACAAGGTGAGTCCTCCTGCACGTGTGTACAGAATACTCCTATGAGTTATGTGCATCATTACATGCAAGAGAGCCTCATCATCCATCTTCCCGAGCTGAACTCGCTGTCTCTGAAGTTTCTTGATTAGTTCCTATTGTACTCAGGCAGCCGTTGTTTGTGTAGTGGATACATACTCGGTAGTGTGACCTTGACGGTGGGGTCTTGGGCTGTGGGCAAATGCATTGCAAGAGATGTGAAGAATGTGAGCTGCTCTTCGAAGGCAATTTATTCAAAGACAAGCAGCTATGAGCAATTATGAGTGTGACCAGACGGGAGCGTACAAAAATGTAAATTATGCGGCATCAATAGCAGTTCACTTCTGTGAGTTAGAACAGATTGCTTTATAAGCCAAACTTTAGACCATCGTTTCAAGCAAGACTGGGTTGCAGATTGCTGATGCACATACGAAAACCACTTGAAAACCCAAGCGAACCAAAGTTTGCCATCAGACAGACTCGGTTTTACACAAAAAGTGCTTTGCGAATGTGTGTGTGTGTGTGTCCTGGATGCAGCGTGCAATCATTACCCTTTTGTTTGGTTATGGGATTCCTGTCAGTGTTGTTCTGTTGAAGAACAGATAAGAGCTTAACCCTTCGCCCTCTACAAGACAGAACCAATGAGCTGTCTTTTAATTAAAACCGCAGCTCTCAAGGTCAGTTGCAGGTGCGCGTCTGTCCTCGAAGTAAGTGAAGATTAATTCGAATGTTCAAGAGTACTGAATTAAGTCAAACATTGGACGAGAAAAAGAAAAAAAACAGAGATGAGAGAAAGAAAACAGACATATGGGCCCTTTGAGGAGAGCAGAGGAAATAGGCATATCAGTGGCAAAAGCCTTTGTCTGGAATTGAAATGGAGAGTGTTAGTCACGGAGTTACAGCCCCGGAGTGTAAAAGGATCAGGACAAGACATACATCTTCCATAAACCATGATATTAAACTAAACTCGGCTCTAGGCCTGGATATAGAAGTAGTAAATAAACAAGATTTTTACATTTGCTGAGGAAAATCTGAGTGGTGCTTGTCTGTGCAAAACTATCCACCACAATGTTGCAGGATAGGCTATGCAGGTAATATGTTCTGAGTGTTTTTATTATGTTGCTATGTGGTTGCTAGGGTGTTCTGGATGGTAGTTAAAGGTTAAGGGATTAAAACAGATTCCTAATTATTAGTATGAGCAACAATGACCATAGAAAGCACCGCTAATCATTGCCTTTAATGTCCACTCCTTAACCCTGTTTGAAAGGTAAATTGCGGTTAACATTTAAGTTGACATTTTACTCAGAAATCATTATGTAATACTGTAGATGATGGCTTTTTATTCCTTTAACCTCTTCACCTTTGAAAGTATCCATCTGATTGTGACATTTGTCCCAGTATGTAGGGTCAGACATGTTAAAACCTGAGCTCGCTCTTTCCGCATCCATGCTCACAGGCTTTCTCTTTCCTCAGGGTCGTAACTGTGAGATCCCCATTAACGCCTGCATCAGCCTGCCGTGTGTTAATGGAGGCACATGCCACCTCACACCTGGACTGGATGGGCACTACAGGTACATTCAGAGCTGTATAAATGATATTCTGTCAGCCATCGAATAGCTGGGAAGTTGTTGGACCTGTGGCCTGAAATGTTGAGTTTTGGTGCAACATAAGTCTAAATGTAGCCTGCACAGTGTTTCCACTATCGCTATAAATACAAGTGTCAAAAAGGATATAAATAAGATTTAAAAACTGAAATAATTTGTTAAAATGCACGTCTGGACAAAATCTGTGTATTAAAATTTCAAAGCTTGTAACACCCCTGGACATTTGAACGAAGCAAGAGACAGGCAGATTGTTGTAATGGCACAATAAATGTCCCCCGTGTCCTATAAATCACCCAGCAACTTTGGTAATGTCACGTTAGGCCTTTATTCAATTTTTGTAGGGCAGCCGCTTCACATCCAGCAGGAGCAGAGTTGCACAATAACTTTACAAAAAAACAGCAAATGAGCCCAGAGATTTGTGTGTTTTTATGTTTCTGGGGGTGGAATATATCGGTTGCTGGCGTAGCTCCTGAGAGTTGGCAGCCAGAGGGCAGGGACTGGGTGGAAGGGTACAGATGGGTGTGGGCTCTGCTAAACAGTGAGATAAGTTTTACTGCTATTGCTCAACAAGTCACCATGGAGATGGAGGTTTATCAAACACTGAGCCTCAGTCACTGATGGATCTGACCTACAAGTCTTACGGATAGCAACAGAAAGCCAAAACAACAGAGAAAAATACAAATATTAGGGGCTGCTTGGAATTTCAGCAGGTAATTTGAGGTGGTGTAATTGAAACCAGCTCATTTGAGTCCCAGTGAAGATCGAGACCAGAACAGGGTCGAGTCTGAGTCAGAGAGCAAAACCGGAAGAGATCAAGTCTGAGTCAAGACCGAGACCAGAAGAGGGTCGAGGTGGGATCAAGATCGAGATCAAAAGAGGGTTGAGTCTGATTCAAGACCCAAAAGAGGGTTGAGTCTGAGTCACAAGCGAAAACAGAAGAGATTGAGTCTGAATCAAGACAGAGACCAGAAGAAGGTCAAGTCTGAATCAAGACTGAGACCAGAAAAGGATCAAATTTGAGTTAAGACTAAGATTAGAAGAGAGTCGAGTCTTGGTAAAGACTGAAACCAGAAGAGATCAAGTCTGAGTCAAGACCAAGACCAGAAGAGGGTCGAGGTGGGGTCCAGGCCAAGATCAGAAGAGGGTCAAGTCTGATTCAGGACCGAGACCAGAAAAAATCAAGTCTGGATCGAGATCAGAAAACATCGAGTCCGAGTCAAGACTGACACCAGACGTGGATCAAGTTCGAGTTAAGACTGAGATTAGAAGAGAGTTGAGTCTGAGTCAAGACCAAGACCAGAAAAGTCCTCATGCTCCCAGCAAGACAAGACCAATACAATGAAAATATGGTTTTGAACTCAGACTTGAGGACCAAGACCATCAAAATATAGTCTTGGACTCATATTCAATGACCAAGAAAATATGGCTCAGACTCAAGGACCAAAACAGGCATGGACTCCAGGAGCATTTTGACTCCGACTCAAATTAGCTGGTTCTTCCATTATCTAGTCACCATCATATTGCTTGTTTTTGGTGGAACAAAATGAGATGTTTAGCAAAATGTTTAGGCTGCTCTTTTCCTTCAAGAAAGTTGGATGGTGACCAGTAGCTGTCAAGCTTAATAGCTTAGAAAAGGACAATCCGTGCCATAAAAGTGAGTACAGGTTTACTCTGTGTCTGAAGATCTTCTTCCAAAATCCCGATATTCTCAATAAACAAGAACGTATAGAGTGTTATAAATAAAGATCTTGTTTTGTGTTCATGCCAGCATTATCATTTGTGGCTGAACTATTCCTGTAATGTGTTCAGTGTGTGTTAAAACCAAAACTCAGTGTTCCTGTTGGCTGTGAGCAGTGCACTAATGAAGGATGTTGGGTTGACATTTAAAGACCAAACAATGAGACATAAATGGCAACAAATGACACTGTTCTGGCTGCAGACTTGAAAAAATCAGTCTGGCAGTATCAGGGCGTCACCCAACAGAGCTAAATCACTGAAACCCATGTGTTTCCTTTTGTTCTAACATTTGAAGTATTGATCATTGTCCTGTGCCTTCCCACTCCTCTAGCTGTGTGTGTCCGCCTGGGTATGAGGGCCAGCAGTGTGAGCTGAATCCTGATGACTGTGAAGACAACGACTGTGAGAATAACTCCACCTGTGTGGATGGCATCAACAACTACACCTGCATCTGCCCTCCGAACTACAGAGGTACCAGTTAAAGCTCATTAAGCCAGACTATAAATGCATTCAGAATGTTTCAGACTCTTTGTTACCATTTTCTTAGTCATATTGCCCTACTTGTCTGTCTCAGTCTTACCGCAATGAGGCCATTTCACTGGCAAGACTGTGCCAATTGCATTTATATCCTCCAGCCACAACTGAGGTGGCTAAGAAAACATTAAGAAACCAAAATAATATACATGTTAAGACTGGTAGTGGGCAGTTTTACTAAACAAACCAGCTTTTGACAGAAGTCCTGACTAGGCAGATTTAAAGTTCAGCTGTTGTTAAAACTGTCTGTTTATTTCCACTTCAGATCTGCCAAGTGGCATCCAGTGGCACAACTGCTCTTGTTCTCTCTTCTTTTCCTCAAAATAGGAAGTGCAACTGCTCCTGCGGGCCCTGTCATTATAATGGCTTTCCTCTTTGCCACCTCCCTTGGAGCGGGTGCAGTTGGTGTAGAGAGTGTGTACTTGCTGCGGTATAAGCCTGGCCACATCCTTAAGCTCGTAGGGCACACACAGCTGTCCGGTTAAAGAGCACAGTCTTAAACCGAGTCTTAAACCAAGCAAGAGAAAAATGTTATCGCTCAGAGATGGATCTTAATGGAGTTGTCGGTTACGTTTCATGAAAGTATCAACTTTGGCTCAGGGGTTTCCCCTAAAAGAGAGATTAAAATAGAAATAGGAGCTAGAGGAGGTGCTTTTTTAGTTAAGTCTTTTAAAACTCTCAACATAGAATATATTTTCATATCCAATATAGAATCATATCCAAGTATGTAATTATGTTGGTGAAATGAAAGGGGAGAAGGAAGGTTGAAGATTTAATATACTGATGATGTTTTCTTTTGTTTTAACTTTATGCCCATGGGCATTGTGGGTCTTGTATTGTTGTATTTTACAGTTGTATTGGGACTTATACTACCGTTTGGGGTTGGTAAGATTTTTTTCTTTTTGAAAAAAATTCATACACTACAGTTAAATGTTTGAGGTGTTTTTCATTTTGATGCAAATTAACACTTTTATTCAGCAAGGATGCATTAAATTGATAAAAGGCGACATTAATAATGTTACAAAAGCTTTCTATTTCAAATAAATACTGTTCTTTTTCAGCATATTAGAATGATTTCTGAAGGATCACATGGCTGCCAAAAAATTCAGCTTTGCATCACAGAAATAAATAACATTTTAATATATATTTAAATAGAAATATTTTGTCATTTTAATTATTTGTGATAATATTTCACAACATTGCATTTCACAACAGTCTTTTTGATCAAATACATGCAGTCTTCTTTTTCGAGCATTAAAAAATAAACCCCAAACTTTTTAAGTAATGTAATGTCAGCATACCAACAGAAAAATGTTGCAAAATGTCATTATGCCCCAAGCAAGGCAAGGCAACCCTTACCAAAAAGTAGTATACTTCAAGTTGATTTTATTAAGTATACTTAAGCAAAGTTCAAGTATATATTTAAGTATACTTTATGTAGTAAGTATACAAATATCAGTGTACTAGTAGTATGCTTGTAAGTGTACTATTTCAATACTCCTTGGGACTAAATTGGCCCACTTTCTAGTATATAAAAGTATACTTTTAAATATACTTTAAGTATAACAGTAGTAAACTTTGAGTACACAACTAGTTTACATCAATGGCGAAAACACCTCGAGGAGGGTCTGTATATTCAGTCAAAGAGTTCCTTTAGCCGCATGACTGTGCGCTTCACCCGTAGACAGCAGAGGCCCTGAGTTTTTCAGCATGTGATAAACCTCCGGACGCTGGGAGATGGCAACTGTTAGAGTCATTTGTTCCTTTTCTTTGTGTGTCTCTTAGGTGATCTGTGTGAGGAGGTGATTGACCCCTGTCTGCCCGGGTTTGACCTCTGCCAACACGACTCTAAGTGTGTTCCCCTCAGTAAGGGCTACAGGTGAGTGTGTGAGCTCCTCTGGTCAGAACTTCACACGAAAGACAACATGACCTGCCTGTGCTGCCTGCAATAGAGCAACAGTCGGGTTCTGGAAAGTAAAAGCTCCATTCATTTTCTCCATTAGGAAAGTGAGTTTAACAATAAAAGACAGACCTGTTGTGAGCTCTGAGGATGTATGCTTTTCTTCAGCCCAACTGTTCACATGAATTCAACTTATTTTTAAAATAATTATGTTTAATAGCAGAATCTGTGATGAAAAACTTACCATGATGCTGTACAGAAAATTCCACCAATCAGTGGTCGCAGTGAGCCAAAAGAGATCTTTAGCTCCACTCACTCCCATGAAGCACTGCAAATGACATATATAAATAAACAAATATATATATATATATGTTCCCCATAGCAACCCCTAGAGGACGCAGTTCGAAGTTCCCATGAAAGGGAACTGCATTTTGAGAAGGTAAAAAAACTTACTTTATTTATTAATCATTTAGAATTATTTTATAATAATAATAATATTATCCTAATATTTTAATAATATTATTATATAGTATATTAAAATATATAAACAAATATATTTATATTTTAAATAGCAATAATACTTAAATCTAAAATATAAAAACTGTTGACAAATATTGACCTAATCTATTAATTCTTTATTCATAATTTCCCCTTTTTTACTCTTCACATTTATGTCTGCAAAAGTGAAAGTAGGTTAGAAATCACTCAAAAAGCATGCACATACTTTTCTGATAACTAGGATACTTGCACACCTGTGTTCATTATGATTATGAAAGGCTTGATAGATGCAAACATATACACGCTTACACACACACACACTGCAAGCTTCTGTTGGTCCTTTGTTATATGATAGTGTGTAGTTAAATCTGACATGCACAGACGATGAATATCCATATGGCTAATTATAACATGGGGGGGTGTGTGTGCGTGTGACTTTGTACAGAAGAAGAATAGCTCTCTCCCCAGCATCCCTCACTCCACTATGGCTACTAATTAAGGGCCTGATGGTGTCTTGAGCCCAGCATTAATCTGGTTTACCACCCATCCTGACACTCTATCAATATTCTAACACTGTCTTCATCTCTTGTGTGATTTAGATTTAAGAAAGAAAGAGTAAGAAAGAAAGTTAAAAGTGCTTGAAAAATTGCTTATTGTTTTCAATAATATACTATACTAATATAATATTCAATAATAATATAGGCATAGGATGGTATAAAGGCTTTTATCATGGTATATTATCACGATATTGAAATAAGTTGCAAAAAAAGTGTTGTTATACTATAACAGGTATGATAAACAAAACTATACATTTTTGTGTGTTGCTTTATTGTTTATAAATGTTCAAAGTAAACAAGAATTATAGTTTAACTGCAATAGGTAAGAATTTACAATAAGGTCTCATTAGTAAACGGTAGTTAACACATTAACTAACATTATGTGAAATAGCTACATTTGTTACACAAGGTATCTGTTAATGTTACAGAAGAATATTAACATTATAGTTAAAAAAACACTGACTTTTCTTAGTATTCTTAGAATGCATTCGAAAAATCTGAGTAATGAATAATAATTTACAGTATTTTGAGGTGCCCACGATAACAATATCATGCATGTTCATTATTATGATATTATTATTACTGTTTATCGGCACATGTCTATAAAATACTTTATATTCAAGAAGGTTTCCTGAAGGATTGAAGACTGGAGTAATAATGCTGAAAATTCAGCTTTGCATTACAGGAATAAATTACATTCTAACAAACTGCAATGTTTGTTTATTTTTTCATTCATCACATTCCATTAAGTGGTTCCAGTGGTAAGGCCATTCAGATAACCCTTACCAAAAATAAGTATACTTCAAGTTTATTTTATTAAGTATACTTAAGTAAAGTTCAAGTATATTTTTAAGTATACTTTATGTAGTAAGTATACAAATATCAGT